CAACTTCCTTTCCGGAACTGTGAGAAACACATTTCCATTGTTTACCCAGCCTGTGGTATTTTGTCATGGTGATCCCAGTAGACTAACAAAACATCCTATCATTTCCTGCCTTAGCTTCCACTTCAAATGCTTCTGGAAAAAGTAGAAAATGACTTGCTTCTCTAGAGACAGAATTAGAGACAATTTAGAGAGCTCTAAATTCAGAACCATAAGACTGGATTTTAAGACTTTATCACATATTAGGTGTGTGACCTTGGAGAAGTCATTTAAGTTCTTTGGGTTTGTTTTCTTTTTTTTTTTTGGGATGGAGTGTCCCTTTGTCACACAGGCTGGAGTGCAGTGATGTGACTGATCTTGGCTCACTGCAAGCTTTGCCTCCCGAGTTGGAGCAATTCTCCTGCCTCAGCCTCCTGAGTAGCTGGATTACAGGTGCGGGCCACCACACCTGGCTAATTTTTGCATTTTTAATTGAGACAGGATTTTGCCATGTTAGCTAGGCTGGTCTTGAACTCTTGATCTAGGTGATCCACCCACCTCGGCCTACCAAAGTGCTGGGATTATAGGCGTGAACGACCACACACAGCCGGGTCTGTTTTCTTTGTAATAAACACAATTAGAAAAATACTTGCCCTATTTCAACAACAAAAGAAAATAGTAAAGATTTCAAGTTGTATTAATTCGAGCTGACTCCTGACTGATACTCAGAGGTCCTTTTATTAGCAGCCTTCCTACCAGTGCTGTCAGTGGACTTCTGCCATTAATTACTCAAGTCCCACTTGGGTATCTGACCTTGTCCCTTAGTATATCCAGAACATTGACGCCCTCTGCCTATAGCTTTTGCAACTTCCATAGCAATATGTAAGTTTCTGATTTCATTCTCTCCAAGAAGGTTGACTTATGCCTCCCCATCCCCTTTTGGTTTTTTTCAGAATAACATCTCTACCAGGAAGCTAAGTTGCTCCATCATGTTTCAAGTTCACTAAGAGTAGATCAATTGTTACCTTTCACTTCTAATATGCTTGAGTCCTTTGTACTCAATGACAAACAAGCCCTTGACCTTGAACTTCTTGAGCTATTCTCCCATTCCTCTCTTCCCATTCACTGACATGATTTCAAAAACCTTCCCACTCATATCTTCCTCCAATGCACTTTTTGCAGTCTGTCATGAATCCAAATTGGTTTTCATCGTGGTTGCTCCCAATTCAAGGCTTTGCTTAGAATGACATACAGGCCTTATTTCTGCCTATCTGTTTTCCAAGGTTTACCAAACATGTCACCCCTTCTATTAAGCCTTCCTTTACATAATGTCTTCTAAGCTCCCTAAGAACTTAGTTTGTGAGTTTTGATAGCTTATTTGCATTCACTGTAGTATCATTATTTGTGGCTCTTTACTAGATTATAAGCTCCTAAGGGTCTCAATTTAAAATACCATAATTTAGTAAACATTCAATAGACATTATCAAACTGATCTTAAACTATGTAATTAAGATATTAGTTCAACTGGGACAAACAAAGGGCTTGGGTATTTTTTGGATAAAGACCAAACTTCAATTTGAATATGGGCAAAGGGAGGCTGGGCCTGTATAGATCTGTACAAGAGACAAAAAGTGTTTGCAATTCTTCTAGCCATTTTCTGTCTTCATTGAAACAATAACAATAGCCAATAAGAGACAAGCTTGCACATAAGTGTTCAATAAATGTTTCTTGAATTATAGAAAAAGTGAATGCTTAAAGTAGTCCTAGAATTATATATTAAATAGTGAGACTTAGAAAGATTCTGAGAGTAGGCTAGGCACGGTGGCTCACACCTGCAATCCCAGCATTTTGAGAGGCCAAGGTAGGTGGATCACTTGAGGTCAGGAGTTTGAGACCAGTATTGCCAACATGGTGAAACCCTTCCCTATTAAAATTTTTTTAAAAAACTAAAAAATTGGCTGGGTGTGGTGGCACATGCCTATAGTCCCAGCTACTCAGGAGGCTAAGGCAGGAGAATTGCTTGAGCCTGGGAGGTGGAGATTGCAGTGAGCCAAGATCATGCCAGTGTACTGCAGGCTGCAAGATTCCATCTCAAAAAATTATGGGAGAAAGTCTAATTTTGAAGAACTTTGAAGACAGGAACAAAAAAACTTTCCATAATTTGACATCACTGAACCTGTCTTTTTTTCTCCATTCCTAAGATAGTTGATAGTATAATCATTCTACTAATGTTATCTTGAAGGCACAGGCTTATCATTTAAAAGTATATATTTTTAAAATTCTAACTCTTTGAAAACTGGTAACCAACATAGGAATAAAGGACAGCTATTTACTTTCTAGATCACAGTGAAGAACATAGGGTATCATGATGGATTATCCAGTTGGCCAAGTAAGTGTATGCTAAGAGAATCGGAAATAAAAGACATTTCTGCTACAACGAGTGTATGAAACAATTTGTAATCAGAAATTCTGGTAAGAAGCTGTTAAAATTCAGGCACTGATTTAAATTTTGGTTTTGGATTCTTTTTTATTTGAATATGATGGGAGGCTTGGCAAGAAAACATCTAAGGCTTTCTAGTGCTTATGGCACTATGTGAACATAGTTTGAAATATTGTTTGAAGCTTGTTGAATTATATAAAAAAGGTAAAAGGTACCATGTACTTTTTAAAAACATAGTATCTAATAATCTTCTCCAGAATACAGTGTTTCTATCATCTTTTCAGGAAAGCACACTCCCTCCTGGTTACTCAATCATATCAATCTAAACAATGATGTCTCAAGTAACAGATGATTATCTCAAAAATATGCCACTTTTGACAACTTAATATAATAATTAGTAACTGCTTAGAATATTTTCTATCACATGAAAGTGGTCTAGCTCTTATTCAGCTTTTAATAAGATATACCATAATTTTAGCTCCAGTGTGAGATATTTTCCCAAATGTTAAGAAAATAAAAGTACGCCGTCATACCAGGTTTTGGGAAGAACATTTTATTGCTAAGCATATCCTTGAACGAAAATGCAAATATGAAATAAAAGAGAAAACAAAAAAAGAAAAAGCAGTAATGTCACAACATCATAAAATAAATTCCTTTAGGTTCTGCTAATAAAACAGGAATATGATAGAAGCTCACATACAGAATGCACATGTTCCCATAAAACTGTCCAAATAGAAACTTACATTAAAAGGAATATAACAAATGTATTTTTACTCAAATGTGAAAAATGAAAGAAAGCAGGAAATCGGTTCACAAGACCTCAAGACGCCAAGAACAGCAATCTTTTACAGACATCGAGATATAATCAACTTCATATAGGCTGGGCCATTTAGATTATCTAAAATCGTGCTTTGATATCTCTTGATAATCCTGTCTTTTTAAATGATAACAAAAAAATCAAACTCTTAACACATTGAAATATTAGATAATGAGGAACACCTCTTTCCATACACATTAGTAAAGGCTACCATTGAGATGGCGCTTTTTGCCCCGTGTCTTTAAGATACTTTTTCAAAGTCAAATATTCATGCAACTTACAAAGACCAGCAAGAATAGATTTCTAAATCTAAGCAGCTGATTGATTTTCATCTGTACAAAAGAAATTGTATATTTCTGACCCTCCAGAGGACACACTTCATTTTCGTGTGGATATTTGTCTTGCTTTGTCTCTTGCTTTTGGATAGCTATGGCCATACAACCAGTTTATTGTTTTTCTGTACATTGTTTCCTCTTTACAAAAAGAAAAAGACAACCAGAATATAAACCAAACAGAAATAAACAGGAAAAAAAAAAACCCAGTTCTTAAAGCAGTATGTACATAGGTGGCTAAGGAATTATACCAGCAAAAACGTAGTAAAATATGTAAACAAAATCTGAAGTTTGTTTTAATTCTCTTTGACACAGTTAACTGTGACAAAACTAAAACTCACGCTTTCTTCACATTTTAAGGTTTGCTTTTTTGTTGTTTTGTTATTTTCTTCTAAAACATTCTCATTCCACTTCAAGACTTTAACAGATTTCCTGTGTCAGTCATCCCATCAAACATACCATGATAAATATATCTGTATATATATTTATTTATATATATTATACTATTAAATTCCTTTTTTGTGTGTCACAGCAGCTTTATTCATTTATTATTTGTTTTTAAAAAAGATGGGTGAAAGGAGAAGTGAGCAAATGGAAGGACAGAGTTATCCATAAATGTCAGGCTACAAAATTAAACCACTATGAAAACCATTGTCATGTTCGGGGCGGGGAAAGAACTATATGTTTCATACTCTGGCATGACATGTTTGGCTTGTGTGACCTTTTGTGTTTCCATCACAAGTTGAACTCCCCTACTGTCTGGTTTGATTATTCAACAGACTTTAGTAGTGTCTTTTTTATTTGGATGCATTTCAATCAGTTACAGATCCAGCCCACCTCTCCTTCCTCTTCCCTAGGAAGGCTGTTTGAGTTTGTGGGGCTTTCCTCTTTAACACAATTTGGCTGGGTGAATGGACAGGAATGACATTGTTAAGTAAAGCCAATAGCTCTGATAATGCCAGCCCTAAACCCGTCTCTTCAGGGTTTGGGTGGTAAATTCTGAAATTAGATCCTGGGGAACCAGCTTTTCGAATCAATATTACCATCCGTCACATGAATTTTGCTATGTGCTCAGCAAAGCATCTTACAGGAAACAAACAACAGATTCTAGAGACACCATAACCTGATATGTAGAGTGAACACCATGGTAGCTTTTGAGTTCATATGGCAATAGTCTCTCTCGCTTTTGTTTTGAGTTCTTTTTTTCCTCTTCTGACGTCCAGTCATTATCAAAAAAATAAACAAAAACCCAAAAGCCATATTTCCCCTCAGATCTTAAACTTACACGCACACTGGCTAGAACCAGATAAGGGTTGTGGGTTTTTTTTTTTTTTTTTTTTTTTTTTTTTTTTTTTTTTTTTTTTTTTTTTT